GATATTCTAGTTCATATCCACAATACAATGATCACAATCAAGAAATTAATAGTACCATCTAGTCTACCTGCCTCAGTCAATTGTCAGATTTTTCCATTGAATTTTACAGTGAAAGAGAAAAGAATTATGAGGGGAAAAAACTTTTTGAATAATGTATGTATTCCTGTGTTCTAGGATCCAATCGAGGATCATATGTTGCATTTAGTTATGACTTGTTAAACCGCATTAATTCCTTCATTGTGGAACAATTCTTCAGCCTTTGTCTTTCACGACCTTCACTTTTTTTTTTTTTTTTTTTGGTACCGGGGATGGAACTGGGGTACTTGAGCTTTGCGCAGCAGGCGGTGAAACCACTGAGCTAAATCCCCCGCCCACCTTCACATTTTTGAAGAGTACAGACTGCTTATTTTAATAGGATGTCCGTCAATCTGGGCGCAGTAAACATTTTATCTTATAATCTCTGTAGGTCTTCTATATTTCACAATTTTTTTGGTTTTTTGAGACAGGATCTTGCCATGTAGTTCAGGCTGGTCCTGAACTCACTATGTAGCCCAGGCTGGCCTCGAACTCGCAGCGATCCTGCCTCAGCCTCCCAAGTGCTGGGATTACAGGTGTTCACCACCATGCCCGGCCCGACATTTCACAATTTAAAAAACAAGATGCAACTCGGAGAAATAAAAAATTCAAAAGCAGTGAATTTCAAGAAACACTAATTAGCAAGGAAATGATTAAAACTAGCCGATTTATCAAAATGTGGATTGTCTTTTTTTTTTTTTTTTTTTTTTTGCTACTGGGGATCGAACTCCGGACCTTGTGCTTGCGAGGCAGGAGGCGGAACGACTGAGCTAAATCCCCGGCCCATGGACTGTCTTTTTAAATAAGGATTTTCTCCTGATTATTAAAAAAGTACTTAAATAGAAAAAATTTAATATCAAAGGTCTCTCCCATGCTAATTACCTGTACTTTCTCTTGTCCTAGAAAAAAAGCCTCCGCCGGAGTAAAAAACCTCGCCTCACCACAAACTTTACTCACTGAAACACGCCATTTTCTGCCTTTTGCACAGCCTCCACGCTCTTTCCTAGGCCTCAAGCCACGCCTCTTTGATTGCGTCAAACACCCTGCCTCTTTCCCAGGCGCCAAGCTCCCGCCCCACCTAAACCGTCGCTCCCTCCCCCGACCCACAGCCATTGGCTCCGATTCTGCTCTTCAGCGAGCGTCACAACGTTTGCCCGAATCGCACGCGCTCGGGAGCAATGGCGGGCGGCTCGGCGCTCCTCACTCCGACGCTACTTTAAGTTATGCTGAGCACGTCCTCTATACTACGTTACAGGGCCCGCTTCTTGCCCAGGCTCCTAGTTTTACCTCACAGGCCTCCTCAGCACTGCGCTCTCCTCTCAGGCCCCGCCTGCACCACATAAAACCCTTTTATTCTCACCCTTCAGATCGCACCACACACCCGCCTCTTTCCCAGACGCCGCGATTCATTCATAAGCGCTTCCCCGCCCCTCTCGCCCTCCGTCCCTCGGCCCCGACCCTGCAGAAGTTCTTCCTCAGACCTTGGCTTCCAAATCCCCCGCGGTCGCCAACGACCCCACAGTCCCTTTAGCCACGGGTTCGCTGCAGCCTAGTCTCCTCACCAGCTTTCGCCGGCCCGCAGTGGACGCTCACGCCCACTCTCGCCATTCTCGATTTGATTCCACTGGTCTTCCAGGCCAGGCATCTCCTCACGCTGTGGCTCTCTGTCCTCAGCGGCTGTCGCGACGGCAGCGGCGGCTTGGTCCGCTATAACCGCCGCCATCGCCGTCCGTTCTTCTCTGCCAGTGTAACTGAAGATAGGAGGAAGACCCTCAACAGCCACTTCCGGATTCTGATCCCGGAAACGGAAGTAGAGCCCCCCAAACAGCCAAGGGGCTACTGCCATCTTGGGAAGGGGCCCGACGCTTGGACGCGTCAAAGGGCTAGGCAGGTATCGGGCCATGGGCTTTAATCTCTGCGACCAATACACGAGGTAAAACTTGCAACTGGAAACTAAGCAAATCACCAGTGGGATTCTAACGCCTTGTGGAGTTAGGGCAAAAAGTTGTATGGGAGGCGGAGGCTGAGGTTCCTAAGGTGGGCAAGTTGGAGAGTGCTCAGGGGATTCACAAAGGCACCCAGTTGTCCCTGCCCTGTGTTCTGCCGAGGACTACAGATCCCAACCCTGGGAGTGGCATTTTTGCTGGGCATAGCCTCACCATGCCCTCTTTGCACTACCCTTCTCATTCATCAAAACCCAATGCAAAGGAGGTCTCTCCCTCCAGAAAGCCAACTACGCCTAGGCAGTCAGCCCCAACTCCCATTGCTTGTTGGACTCAATAAATAACTAGTAGTCTGCCCAGTCTAAGTGCTTGTTGAACTAAAATAGTAGCCTCAGGCAGCAGGTACTATCTTTGTCCCCATGGGCAACAGTATGGGTATCTGAAGGCCAGAATTGTTAACTCACTTGTCCCCCATCTAGTTCAGTGCTGGAGCTGTGGTTCCAACGCAGGAAATCTGGTTCCAGAGCTGAGACCGTAAACATCAGGCCAGAGAAACCTCTCTCAGAGGCTTCACAAAATCAGAACTGTTTTCACAATACTTTTTCACTCTTGTGAGTGTAGAGGGGAACTATCCAGAGGCTACTGACATAAGCAAAGTCTCTTTGGGTATCCTCAATATTTATAAAGGGATCACAAAACCAAAAAAATTTTTTGGTACCAGGAATCGAACTTGGGACCTTGTGCTTGCGAGACAAAACCAAAAATTTGACAACCATTGCACTAGGCCCCCAGGTTTGTTTTTGTTTTTGTTTTGAGACAAGGTCTCACTATGTAGTTCAAGCTGGCCTTAAACTATGTAGCCCAGGCTGTGGAGGCAGGTGACACCACTCCTGGGTTGGCCCCAGGGTTTCTTAACCTCAACACTGTCATGTCTTTGTTTGGGGTGGGGGGGTACCTCAGGCTGTTCAGCTGCATTTGTGGCATTATCATTAGACACTGATATACCCCTAAGAACAACCCAAAGTACCTGTATCTCCCTCCAGACATTACCAGATATCTTGGGGGTTGAAGGAGTCTCTGATTGAAAAACATTGCACTGAGCTGTGTCACCCTTTTCTCTGGTAGGGCTCCCAGCCCTACTGGTTGGTGGTGACTAGTATTTATCTCTGGCTTTGCATCTACCTGCCTATTGGCTGTCCCCACCTGGCCATCCCACAAACTCCTGGAGAAAGGCTCATGATTCAAAGGCTGTTTAAGTGATTCCTTCACCATCACCACCCAGTCCCTAAGGACAAGAACTGCTTTTTCATATCCCTAGGCCCATGTGTAAACAGGTCTGTCTCCTTGTACAATTTCAACCCGCACCACTCCTACCTCATAATTTATCTATTTTTAGTTAAGCTTTGTGGGGCAGAGATTGTGTCTATTACTATCATTCTGGCCCCAGCCCAGACCTGGCACAGATGAGGGGTCACACACTCAGTTGGGTAAGCCCTGTGGGAGAAAAGGGAGCACGCTGTTCACCTGGCAGTCCCCACAGACAATGGTATTTGAGTTGGGTCTGGCAAATGGAAAGATTCAAGCCCAGTTGAATCTTGTCATACTCAATGAATTGACTCCCCTCACTGCCCCTCTGCAGGCTCCCCCTCCCCATTTACCTGAGCAACCAGGTAAATCCAAGAGGCTTCCTTTTTCAGCCCTAGATTTAGTTTCTTCACCTTCCAGAGACCAATCTCTGCCCACACTAATGATCTCACCAATTCCTAAGGCACTTGGGTAAATTCTAGTCCTTCAAGTCTGGCCTGGCACCCGTTCTCTTTTGCAAGATCCTTTTCCCAACCTCCTTTGCTGCCAGAGGTGGTTATCTCCTCTGATTCTAGCCAAGGGGATGGCACAGGAAGTCTGCTGAGAAGCTTGTGCAAGTTCCAGTCCTATTACAAGAAAACAGAAAGGGTGCCTAGTTTTTGTCTATATTTTGTAACAGGGTCTCGCTATGTAGTTCAGCCTGGCCTCAAACTCAAAATCCTCCTGCCTCAGCCCCTAAGTGCTACGAGTGCCTGTTTTCACAAGTTGCTTTCCCATCTCTGTAGACGTGGCAGCCATTGTGTCACCATGAGGCTGAATGCTGAGGTAGTGATTAGATACAGGTCACCACCACTGGGCTTCAGTGAACAACCACTTAATTAGGCTTGCTATTATAGTACTTGCAGCATTTGCCTTGCCCACCCCTCCTCTTCTGCGTGTAAGTCTATTCTTGGCTTTGCCCAAGATGGTGGAACAGGAGCTAGAATTCACAGGAGTGAGAAAACTAAAGCCTCAACTAGTCTCACACCATTTGACCTCTGGCCTGCTGCAAACCACTGCATCCTTCCCAGGATCATCACACCCCGCCACGGATTTCATTAGACACCAGTAATCCAAAATTCCACCTCCATCTATAATTCCTCTCCTGAACCTGATCCATGTAATTAAAGGATTCCTCTACCTAGCGGTTCAAAATTTACCCTCCTCTCATTCCCTCCAATTGGCCTTCTTCAGTGTTGTAGTTGGATATGTAGTGGTCACACTGGGCCTGCCTCTTCTACCCACCCTGGTTCTATTGGGTCCCCCCGTGTCCTTCAGTTGCTCTATATCCTCTTGCTTCCACCCTGTCAGGACTCCTCATATTACTGGTTAAGGTTTTTTTTGCATTTTCGCAGCAGGTGGCGAAACCACTGAGCTAAATCCCCAGCCCACTGCTGGATAAGTTTAACTCCTCCTTCTGTTTGATTCTCAGCCCATCAACCTACTCATCCTGCCCTACCTGCTTCAACCATTCCACCATTAGGTGTGCAATTCCTCAGAGGCCTTTTTCATGGTTGTGCTGTGTCCCTGGCTCACTCCGATGCTCTCCCAGATGATTGGGACCAGATATGAATTCAAGGTCTTAGCAATCACCCCAGCTTAAGTCCCACCCCTCCTCATAAGGATTTGCAATCAGGCTTTTCACTTTAGACTTTTTAATATTTCATACAGCGATTATGGTGCATTCAGGAACCCAACCCCCCAAATCCCACTAGGAGGGCTCCCACCCCTGCCCTCCCACCCCGTTTAAGGGCCCCAGAGCTTAGGGTGGAGGAAGGGGAGGTAACCACCCATCCAGGGACTGACCCTGGAGACTGTCCCTGCCCTGCCTCACCCTCCCAGGGGTTAGGAGGCAACACCTGGGCACAACCCCCATGTGCCCCTCTGTCCCTGCTTGTGCACATATACACACTATGGCTCCTTACTGAGTTGGTCAGTTCCTGGCAGGGGCCCTACTCAACAGCACCGAGTGGGAAAGGGCAGGAGGGCTGGGCTGGGGAGACCCTGAGAAGGAAGGAGGCCCTGGCTATGGGACTGCAGGAGGAAGAGTGGGGCCCCCACCTTGTCCATCTCCCAGAGTCCCCAATAGTTCCCAGATCCCCCTGTGGCTGGGGACAGCAGGTGGGGGAAGGAAGGTGAGTGGCCGAGGCATGCTTTCCCATAGCCAATCCCAGGGTCTGGTATGGTCAGGGTTCCAAATAGGGGCTGTGTGTGGCCCTGCTTCTGAAAGGCTGGGAGTGGGGCTTCATTGCACAAAATACTGTGGGAGGGCCACACGCAGGGAGGTGGGGCCCAGCCAGTCTGTATACAAGAGATATTGCATTTAAAAGAATGAAAACCTCATTTAAAATAATTAAAAAAACAACGAATGAAACAAACAAACAAAAAAGGCCCACACAACATGAGGCAGGTGAGACAGGCAGGAAAGCAGGCAGAGGATGCCTAAGACCAAGGCACCTCTACCTTCTTGTCTGAGTCGAGAGCCCCAGCCTGGGCTAGCTCCAGACCCCTGGCTGGCCGCGGGATAGTGGTCCTGGGGGAGGGTATGACGAGGAGGGGTAGGCCTGGCCTCAGTGTGGGAGGCTGGCACGGCCATGCTGTCCGCCAGCAACTACCAAGACAGAGAGAGACAAACCAAGCAGAGGGGTGATGAGAGCTTTGTTAGCACCCAGCAGACAGGCCAATGGGTGGGTTGACAGGCCAATGGTAGGATGTTTGGGCAGGTGCCAGGGAACAAGTGGGCAGGCGAGCATGGCTCAGGCAGGTAGACAGGCAGCAGCAGGGAGAATGCAGTTGGGGCTGCCCTGTGAGGGGAGTGGCATCCCTCCAGCTGCTGCCTGCTGGGGCCTCGGTCTGTGCCTTAGAACTTGGCTTAGAACTCGGTGTCCACCACATGGAAAGCTGGCCTGCCTGCAGGGAAAGCAGAGCGACGGCTGTTGGTAGGCAAGCAGGTTGGTGGGTGAGGGAGGGGGAGAGGTGGGAGCATACCTACCTGAGTCAGGCATTGATGAGGACCGAAGGCTGGCCTCTTTTTGGAGCTGGATCTCTTTTAGTGCAAATACGGAAGTAGCTGTGGATGGAGGGGACAGACGTGGGGTTGACTCATGGGGCTATCCAGGACCAGCCCCCCATGTGACCTCACTGTGGGAATAAGAATGAGTTGCCCCTTCTTTGAGAGAATTATTTGACAGATTAAACAACTTGAGAAGATGAGATATGGATTACTGCATGAAACAAAGAAATCATTAATTTGATGTGTCAGGTATGATAATGGTATTACAATTACCACCTGTTATGTCCAAGGATGGGTAGTATTTGGGGATTTATTTATTTTTATTTTTTTTGAGACAGGGTCTTGCTATGCAGTTTAGGCTGGCTTTGAACTCAAGGCTATCCTCCTGCCTCAACCTCCCCCAAGTCCTTGGATTATAGGTGTGTGCCACCACAGGGCTTGGGGATTTGATTTAAATACTAATCCAGTGGGAGGACTGTGGGCCATTATTTTAGGTATGATGATGACAGTTATTTTAAAAAGTCTTTTATAGGGCCGGGGATTTAGCCCAGTGGTTCCGGCGCCTGCCTCGCAAGTGCAAGGTTCCGAGTTCGATCCCCAGTACCAAAAAATTTAAAAAAAAAAAAAAAAAGTCTTTTATAAATACATGCTGAAATTAAGGATGTGATGCCTGGGATTGGATTTGATACAAAATAATCAGAGGGAAATAAAACCAGTTTTGCCACCAGCTGATAAGTTGTTGGAGTACATGTGGCATCATATTGTTCTAATATGTAAGTATGTATAATTTGGAAATGTCCATATTAAAAAGTTTTTTAATACAAAGAGAACATCCCATATGATTCCATTTCTATAAAGTGCAAGGGCTGGGCAAACTTATTTATGCTGTTAGGAAACAAAATAGTAGGATTGAAAAAAACAGCAGGATCGGAGGTATAACTCAGTGCTATAGTGCTTGCCTAGCATACAAAAGGCCCTGGGTTGCATCTCCAATACTAGAAAAAAAAATTCAAAACAGTGGTTCCTGTTGGGGAGGGGGACTAGAATAACCCAAGGTGAGGAGCTCTGGGGGAGCATCTATTGTTCAGTTACATAGGTGTGTTTAGTTTGTGAAAATTCACTGTGTTGTATACTTGTGATCTGTGCATTTTGTACCATATATATTAAAGGAAATGTCTATTTTTTAAAAAGTAAAATTACACTGCATTTTTTTGAGACAGGGTCTCACTATATAGTTCAGGGTGGCCTCAAACTCACTATGCAGACCAGGCTGGCTTCGAATTTGCAGCGATCTTCCTGCCTCAGCTTCCCAAGTACTGGGATTACAGGCATGTGCCACCATGCCCAGCGGTATTTATTTTTATGTACTGTATGTTTTGAAAATTTTCATGAAAGGAAAAGGAACTGAAAACTAAAAAAAAATTTTTATAATAAATATAACTTATCACACATGTCAACGAGGATGTCCCTTCCTTAGAGATGGCATAGCTGGAACCCTATACAACCTGCTCAGCTGTCCCCAGCAGTCTGTTTCCCACAGTCCCTGCCTCAGCCCAACCACTCCCCTGCTCCACTCACTGTCAGGAAGTTTGTGGATCCGCTCCCCCAGGCTGAGAAAGAATAGATGTTTCATGGCATCCTCTGCAGAGATCCGATTTCGGCCCTCAAACTGAGTTGGGGGAGGAGGGTATATTGGTATTTTCAACAAATAGGTCTTTTTTCCTGTCTGCCTCAGATCCTACCCTGGAGATCCATTTCCCCACACCTGGAGTACCCCCCTCACCCAAGGCTGGTCCAGAAATGTATTCTCACCTGCAGCAGCTTGGTGAGGAGGTCAGCCCCGTCGCTATCAAGTCTACCGCAAGGACAAGGGGACCTGCTTTACATTGAGTTTGGGCACTCTGAACCCTAATACCCACGCACCCACCCACCAGCCTCACCGGGGTGCATGGCTCAGAAGGGCCTCAGCTCGGTACTTGGGGTAGTTGTATGTCTTAAACTCCTCGTTAGACAGGATGCCTGGCCATGTTTCCTCAGTTGGGGTTCCTGGCAGGGAAGAAGAGTTACTCCAAACATCTCCGGTCCTCCCTGCATGTTCTCATAGCTCCTAGGGTACATGCCTCCTCACCTAAGATGCGGAAGATGAAGTGCAGCTGTTCCTCCACTGTGGAGCCCGGGAAGAGAGGCCGGCCTGTGGCCATCTCATAGAAGATGCAGCCCACACCCCTGGGCAGGGAAGGCACAGTAAATAAGGAGGCAGCTGGCTAGGTAACTGTTGTGATGAAGCCACCCCCTTCACTGCCTGGCCCCTGATACACTTTCACCTCTCCTCACCACATGTCAATTTGGGTAGAGTAGTCTGTGGACCCAAGCAGGATGTCAGGGGGCCGGTACCACAGTGTCACCACCTCATTGGAGTAGGTCTTCGTTGGGATTGACTTGGCCCGGGCCAGGCCTAGGAATTGAAGAGAGGGCAGCTGGAATAATGAGACCATTGGCAGTCTGAGGGAGAGGACAGTTTGGACTGAGGGTGGCCTAGGTAAAGTCTGGAGAGGCTGAAGGGGCATGAGACTAGCTACGCAGTCACAGGAAGAGCATTGCTGGGAGAGTAAGGCTTGGGGATCAACAGGAAGGGGGAGATTGGTGGTACCAAAGTCAGCCAGCTTGAGTTCTCCCCTCTCATTGATGAGCAGGTTCTGGGGCTTGAGGTCTCGGTGTAGCACCTTCTGCCGGTGGCAGTAGGCCAGGCCACGGAGCAGCTGGAACAGGAACAGCTGGGGACCCAGGAATAGCAGGCAGAGGTCAAAGAGTATCCAGCAGTCCAATCCTGGCAAGCAGGCATTGATCCCTCCCAAACAGACACCAAGCCCTGAGCTTTGTCACACAAAAAAGGACAGGCTCCCAATGCCCTCCAAGGCTCCCAGCAAACAAGCCAAATGGGAAAAAGGCTGTTTCTGGGGATCTGTAGGGTGAGGTGGAATGGGTGACTGGGGGGCCCCTCCTGCCCCTGCTTCCTGCCCCACACCCACTTTCACATTGTGCATGTTGATGACGTTCCCACAGTCATCCAGGTACTGCTTCAGGTCCTTGTCCTGAAGAGAAAAGAGACAGTATAGGAATGAAAGTTACGTCGTGTGGCTGCTGACCACCTGCCCGCCTCCTGCCACAGCCCACTGCCACCCAACCTTACCAGGTACTCAAAGACAAGGGTGAGAGACTTCTCTGTGTGGATGATATCATGTAGTGTAACGATGTTGGCATGTTTGAGGTCCTTGAGCAGGGACACTGCAGAAACATGGGAATGGGATGGGGCAAGAGTCAGCTGCCCTCTCCCCCTGCCCCCCAGGACAAAGGTGAGGATAAGGACCAGATAGATGAGCCCAGGTTTCCTTCTTTCCCCATGCTGTTTAGGGTAATCCCTCACAGCAACCATCTCTAACTCACCCTATGCTAGAAATAAGTGTACCCATGTTCCAGATGTGGAAAATAAGGCCCAGAGAAGAGTATCATGCAAGAACCCAGGACTGCAGCCATAGGTTCATGTGACACTAGATTTTCACAACCTGTTTTGGGGAAGGAGCCTTGCTCCAAACCTCAGTATATAGGCCAGCAGCACAGTGTGAAGCTGGGTTTGCACACCCACTTTTTATGCAATTAAAATCCATTCCATGTAATACTGTGAGCCTTTTAAGGTGTACTTTCAACAACAAAGTGAGCACCATGGTTTGCAATTGGTTCACTTTCCTTGGTTCATTCATAAATTCTTGGTTACCCTGATTATGACTTGGATATGCAGGTGATGGGCATTCTCACAAAGTCCAGACAGAGCGTTGGGGGGCAGATGTCCCAGAACCCCCAGTCTGTCCTCACACAGAGCACGAGTGTGTGCATGTGAGTCAGAAAAGCCTAAGGCAGATGAAATGGGGTCTGTACCTTCCCGTATGGCCGTGCAGGGTGCCCCCTCTTCATGTTCCAGTCTGATCTCCTTGAGTGCCACAAGGTTGTCTGTGAGCTTGCTTTTGCCTTTGTATACAGTGGCATAGGTACCCTAGGATTTGAGCAAGTGACAGAAGTCGCACTATGAGACTCCAGAGTTCCCACTGACCCCTACCCTACCATGGACCTCCTGTCTCTCACCTCACCCAGCTTGTCCAGCTTGATGTATGTCTCCAGTTTCCCAAACCCAATCTCGGACTGTGGGGTGAAGGAAGCAAGTTAAAGCAGACTCAGGGGAAGGCAGTGAGAGTGGAGGAGGAGGAAGAGGAGGACAGGACAGGAACAGAAGGTGCTCACCAGGCTGACACGGCGGAGGCGGCGGCTAAGGGGCTTGTCAAAGATGGGGCTATTGAGGGTCAGCTTCTCAAGGTAGCCCTCGGGCAGCCGGATGTCGGCTGGTAGCGATAGGCGCTTGTTGATGTCCTACCAGGCAAGAAACAGGACCATGAGCTCCTCCTCTCCAGATCTAACCCCTTTTCCAGCTCCTCTATCACCAGGATGAGGGTGAAGCACCTCAGTGGAGATCTTTCGTGGAGGGTGGTTGCGCATGCGCACTCTCACTGGAGACTGCACCTCATCCGAGGATGTGGCTGAAGCCTGGTCACTCTCCCCATCAGACCCCATCTTCAAATCCTCGTGTACAATCTCTGGTGGCAGGGAGAGGAGGAGGGCACGCCAGGTGGTGTCAAGAAAATCCCCTCCCCCACATAATGTATTCCCTCATCACACCCATATGTGCACATGGCCCTTGGAGCAGCCTGGAGTCCCTCAGGGAGAGGGTGGTGGGCCCCAGGGAAGCCCAGGCAGGCCCAGGACAGGTTATACAGAGTGGGAGAGCAATAGTCACCTGGTGGAGCACCCCGTTCCAGGGGTGAGCTGAGACTGCGGCTGGCCCAGGGCCAGAAGGCAGGTAGCGGCAGAGGTAGCCAAGAGCCCTGGGAAGGCAGGCCCAGGGCGGGCGGGCGCTGGGAGGCCTGGGAGGGCCACCGTGGAGTGCAGGAGAAGGGCAGAGGGAGCCTTGGGGCAGCTGCAACAGGCAAGGAACCCTTCCTCCCCCTGGGGCCTGGACACAAAGCCAAGGAAAGGGCACAAATGGACAAACAGACAGAGGGTATTGAAAAGGAAAATATGGAAGGGGGAGAAAATGGAGAAAGGAAAATGAAAACAACAAAATTCTAGAGGAATTTGGCCGAAAGGCAGCACCTGGGAACTGAGGGTGGGGATAGGGAATAGTCAGTGGACCCACCTGGTGCAGAGCTGAGTGGGCCCCGTCCACAGCGTGGTTCACCAGGAGGTATGCATGTAGGGGCCTCTCCAAGGTCACTGCCACCACCCCCGCCACTCTCATCCAGGCCTATCTGCTCGGGGGCACCATTGGTCTTGTCTAGGCCTCGGCCCCCTCGGAGTGTCATCGACAGCTGCCGTTTGATCTTCTTCATCCGATCCATGGCGACCTGAGCAGGGGCATGGATAGACACAAGTGGGATCCACATTAGCTTGAACATCATGGGCCCCCTAAAGCCTCTGACAGTCTAGTGAGGGGCATTGACATGAACATGTATTAGAGCCCACCCAACCACTACAGACCCCTGGAAAAACTCAGGATTTCTGGAAATATGGCAAGAATAGAGTCCCTTGTCATTATCGGCCTACCTACAGCCAGCCCCTTGGGAACCTACTCCTGAGTAGCCCACCTGGATCCTCAGACTTGTGTAGCTGGCTGAGGGCAAAGGCCCACCCAAGGAATTGTTGGTCTCTACAGTGGTAGCCTCACTGTAGGAGCAGAGAACTCCATAGCACTCATCTTCAGGTGCAGCGTCAGTGACAGACCCAGCCATAGGTGGAACAAAGGGCTGGCCAAGAACAGTGAGACCACTGACACAGCCTTGGCCGTGCCTATAGAATGGCATCTTCCGCTGACACAAGCCCCACCTTACCCCCAACTACCAAGGCAGGATGCTTTCTGAGGCCACAATGACCCTCCTGCCTCCCCGCAGCAACCATCCTCATGGAGATTAGAGGACCACACCCCTGCTCTACCCAGGTAGGGGAAGGAGATCCTTGCCCAGACCCAACCACTGGGCAGGATTGTGGGAGTGCCTCAGGGCACATCAGCTGTCCTCAGGGCTAAGGAAAGGTATGATCAAGTTGGAAACTACAGGGCCAACCCTGTATTTTCATAAGCCAAGTCACATCTCTCCTCAAACTGAGAATATACCACATCTTCCGTCTCACTCCAAATCAATGCCCAAGTCCTCAATGTGGCCCACAGTTCTTAGCCCATTTTCCCTGGTTATATATCAGGTCTCAACACTACCCTGATCATTCCTAGCTGCTGTTCTGCAACCATACCCAGTAGAGTCCCACCTCAGGGGTCTTTGCACTGGATGTTCCTGGTACCCGAAACACCCTTTCCCCAGCTGTGAAATAGTTAATTCCCCACCCTTTTCAAACCATTGCTCAAATGTCACCTTTTTCATGAGGTCTCCATGAATAATCATATTGAAAATCTCAACCATTCTGAGCTCCCTCACCTTGCCAGTGATCCCCCCAGCACTCATCACCTCCTCAGAAATGACACCATCTACTATTGGTTTCTTTGCTCTTTACTGTCTCTCTCCTCACGGCCACTAGATCAGCTCCGCCAGAGTAGATTTCTGTCTGTTTAGGTCACCGCTATATCCTGAGGACCTAGAATAGTGACTGACACAGAGTAGACACTCAAAAAGTGCATGTGGCAGAAATGAATGAATCAGGGGGCTGAGGGCCTGGGACCAACCTCTGCTGAGGTGGTGAGTCCCTACTAATCATGAACAACCCCTAGCAAGTTAGCCCAGGAATGCTGACATCAACAGGAAGACGGCCTAAATGGGCTGCTGGAGGGAAAAGGCCCATCAAAAGCTTTAGGCTGGCCTTCTTCTGCTTCCTCCTGGGCACTACGACAATGGGCACTACGACAGCAAGGAGGGGGAAAGACCTGGCCCAGGAACCATCTGGACTCACAGCAGGGCCTAAGATGGCCCTGGGCCTAAAGGAAGTAGAGCTAGATAGGAGGTCGAGGATGAAGCTGGGGCTGGATTCAAGGAGAGAAAATGGGTCATCTGTTACCTTGAAATCAAGTGCTTACCCTAGCAGTTCCCACCTCCTCTTCAGCCTGGCTGGACTCACTGCCCCTAAGAGGGGATGAGGGGTCAGCCTAGCAGAAAGACTGACCTCACAGGTTGCGGTCCACCATAGAGAACCCAGGATAATGACGACAAAATCCTGATGCTGGAGACCAAACAGTGCACCTAAGGCTGGGGAAGGTGAAGCATGGCCAACTCCCAAAGACTACCTTGTGTGTTCCATATGGCAGATACCCAGTTGCTTTGCATAGGGTGACAGGGAATAGGGGGAGGGACTAGGAGGAACCGTAAGTAGAACTGAATGTAGGTTAGAAAGGGAGCCGGGAGGAACCATGGGTCCATGACCTCTAAATGGAACCCCCAAGGGTCGGACATGTTGGAATTCAATTTGGGGGGGATTGAAGATGGGACACAAAATCTGTGTATTATACAACACTTCCAGTGGGGGAGGGCTTGGCAGGTTCCTGTGAACAGAAACACCTGGACATTTATATGCAGCAAAACTTTTAAATATTATCATTTCAGTTTTCTGAACATATTGATTTCAGAATAAGTGAAAGACATAGCAAGGAAGTGGACATACAGCTCCACCCCAAGAGGTCATATGTCCGTCTTGACCCCTAAGGACACACATCCTCCTCAGACTACTCTCATACTCAAGCATACTAACCACCTGATACCACACAGAACACTGAGGACACAGTCATCACACTCTACTACTCCCATAGGCACACACCTCATTCTGTCCAGAAATCCATGGGTACACATCAGCTCTCAAGTGGCCTCACTGGACCTTAATTCCCACTAGCACCCATGATTTCTTTTATCTCTAACCCCCATCAGCACTCAAAGTTCTAACCTATCACACTGAATTCTGATGACATACACTCAGCCCCCTCTAAGAAACTCTTACCATCACATTCTTTTTGATTTGTTTTTGATTTTTGGTTTGAGACAGTCTCACTGTGTCGTTCAGTTCTCACTGTGCCTCGAACTCACTATGTAGCCCTGGCCTCGAACTCTCAGCAATCCTCCTGCCTCAGCCTCCCTAGTGTTGGGATTACAGGCATGTGCCACTACCATCCCCACCTTCCATCACATTCTTGAACCCCTCCCTGGCCCAGCTGCCTGTTAGCTTCTTCATAACACTAATTCCCTCCCATTAACCTACAGTTCCCCCCACGATTCAGACCCTCACTAACTTGCACTTGGGTTGCTCCACAGCTGAATGAGTGCTCACACAGTTCTGAATCGCATTAGCACAAAGTGAAACTTGCAAGTGCCTGGCTAGTTTCACTTACCATCAGGACCTTTCCAAACTGGTCCTTCACTTTACGCTGACCCTTATTACGAGCACACACTGGGCCTTACACATTCCTGCCTCCCCTTAGCACACCCTGAACTACTCAGCTCTATTCCTCAGGGACACACAAACACTATTCTATAAAAGCCTGACCCTCATTAGTGCACACAGCTCTCCATTCAGCCCTGACCCCCATTAACACAAACTTCAGTCTTCTATGGTCGTGGTCCACTTTAGCACCTCCACGCTATCCCATGTTCCTGTCCTCTACTACTCTTTGCTTCAACCCCTCCACAGCCATAACCTCCGTTGGTTCACTTGGATCTCTTCATAGGCCTGATTCCCCTATTACACACTAGATCCCTCCCATCAGCACTCTATGAACCTCAATACACTCCACTGTCCTACGGACATGAACACTGTCTTTCTTCACTAGCATACTCTGTTCTGTGCTTACTAGCATATACCAGACCTCGGGCTGCTCTGACTCTCCCCTCAATGCCAAAGTGCCCCTATGGCTCAAAACACACAATAGCAGTCATTAGAGCTTCAAATACAGAATCATCCTGAACCTTCTGGGGTCTCATATTCCCTTTCATAGTGGAGAATCACACCTCACCTTGGTCCTTAGCACACTGAGCTCTTATAGTGCTGAGACAATTCCCTCAAGTCACCATCCCACACTTACATACACAATTCTAATACCCCCACAAACTCGGGTCGGTCTTCCACCATCCTGTCCCCATTACACATCTTTGGTACTTCCACTGCTTTGCCCCCATTGGTATAGTATATACTGTGCCTCACAAGACAGATCTTTACTATATACACACACCCTTACAGCCATGACCCTCAACAGCACACACTCACACTTGAGTCCTTCAACTGCTTGTTCCTCTATGAGCACTCTGGACTCTCACACAGTACTAACACCATCCTGACCCTCATCACTACACACAGGGCATCAGAACCCTGATCCTTTTAGTGCTCCTTCTGGTACCGTTACTATCCTGTTCCCCGTTAATATACACTGGGCCTCTCTGCAGCCCTAACCTTCACTAGCTTGTTTTGGAACTAAACTGACTCCCTAGCCCCTATTGCAGACCCTCAGGTCCCTCTCCACCCTACCATTCCCTTCCATTACCTCACACTGGGCCTCAAAATTTACACAACCATAAGGCTACATGCTCCGACCCTTACACAACTCAGGCCATTAGCAAACGTCAAATCTTTCACCACTCTATCACCCACTCCCACAACCTCTGGTCCTTTTGCCACCTTGCTCCTCTTTAGCACTTCCCATCCCCAGATCTCAGTACGGCCCAGGGCGGGGACAAGGTCAGGGAGGCCTCAAATGACCCCCCCTGTCCCGGTGCATTCTGGGAGATTAGCTGGGGGAGGGGGCACCTGCCAGGCGAACAGCTCAGACCCCAGCACCCCCTGGGGTCGGGGCTGGTTCCACAGGAGGAACGGCAGCCCCTCCCCCCCAAGTCTGGGAGACGCGCTCACCGGCGGGGGCGCGCGAGCAACCTCAGAGCCGCGGGGCCGGCGCGGCGGCGCCTGGGGCGGCGGCCCAAGATGAGGCCGCGCGACCTCCTTCTCCTCCAGTTCGCCGCAGGCGCCCGTCCCAGTAGTCTTCGGCCATGGCTGCTGGGCCCGGGCCGCCGCCGGCTGAGGAGGAGGAGGCGGCGGCGGCGGCGGTGGCTGAGGCGGAGGCGGCGTCCCGCTCAGCCGGCCATGAGCTTGGCCGCTGCGGGCGATGCCCTGGGGCTCGTTGGCGTCCGCTCTCAACCGATCGCTCACGGCGGCTTGCGGCTCAGGGCCAACTGCTCGCGGAGACACCGCCGATCCCAGGGCAGAACAGCCAAAGGCCCAACCGCCGCGCGCACCGCGCGCCGCGCTCCGCGCATGCGCACGCACGCGCTGGAAAAGGTGAATTAGAAAGGAGGGGACTCACCTCGGACTGCATGTGCCAAAAGACCCGTCCGCAGTGAGAGGGGGCGCGGCCATTGCGCGCCCACAGAGGAATGTGGCGCCTGCCCTGGAACGGCGCCAGGAAGAAATGGAGAGGTTGTTTAGTATTCAGTTTCGAGCTTGCCAGAAGTTTGCTAACGCCGAGGTGAGCAGCAGTCAGTAACCAGGCGTGCCAGTCACCACTCGCTCCCCCTGCTCGATTTCACTTGGTACTTCCCCATGGTAGCCAACGGGACTTTTGCAAGGAGGAAAAAGACCGATGAGGTAATTAGTTCTAGTTCCTTCAGGTGCCTCGACAGGCACGAATTGTAAAGATTCGAGAGATGACTTTTCTCAGAGAAGTGGCCTGGATAATCATTGGCCTTTACTACCTTAGCTGGGATGTCTAGCCCCGCCCTGCTGCCCCCCACCACCGCAGGCTCATTCCCACTGTGAACGTGTACGGCCCCGCCCTTTAAGGTTGTCGTGGAGCCAATCGGATTAGCTCTTTGTGGTGAGGCAGAGCAGAATGAAGGGCGTGGCTGAACTGGCGGAGGATTTCGCTTTCTTCCCTGGTTTCCCTTTCTACTCTGCCCGATTTTTATTGGTTTTAACCGTCGGGGGGGGGGGGGTGGTCTCCTTTTTGTTCTGAGATCCTGTGTCACTATAGGCTCAATATTCCGCAAGGTGATTGGCCCAAAGAACGTTCAACCAGTCTCCGTCCCGCCTTTAACCCTTTCCATCTGCTTCAACTGGCCTCTTGAGGTGGAGCCTAGGCGGAGGGGAAAGGCGGATCTTAAGAGGGGGCCGGCCTCGCTACTGCGCATGCTTGAAATTTTGGGTGGGGCGGGGCCTCTTCCTGTCTCCTAGGATTATTTGCAAAGCTTCCTGCCACCTCTCTATATCCCTGCCCGTCACAGCCCCTCCCGTGGCTCCCCTTGCTCCGTGGTTTTCTTTCCCTTGTATCTGTTGGCTTCTGCTGTGTGCCACACTGCTAGGCATACCTAATCCTCTGCCTGCAAAACTACTGTCTCCAAGTCCAGCTCAAATGGCAACAGCCTTCAGCAGGCCTTCTGGGAATTCCTTACACAGCACCGCAGTTCAAAGGCAGCTTCCTTCCCTCTTCTGGGCTTACGTTTATGGTAGCCTTGGTGACACCCCTACGGTTTTCAGTAAAGTTCACGTTAACAAGGGCTTCCTACCATGATGGGAATGGAAATATTGACAAGGCAAAAGTCCTCACCACAGGCTAGACCTCATCTCCTACCCTTCTTCTTATTCCAGCCATACTAGCTTCCTTCTAACTCCTCCTGAATGGAAGCAGGCACAATCCCTCTGGAACTTTGCATTTATTGTTCCCTTTGCCTGCAGTGTGTCTTATTACTTCACTTTCAAGTCCTTCCTGTAATGTCACCTTCTCCACGCCTTCCTTGATTACCCCATTTAAAAATTACTGCCTGTACTTCCACGATTCCGTATCTTCAGACCTGGCAGTATTTTTAACCTTTTGAAGGCACTGATCAATCCCTTGGTGGGGGGGGGGGGCGGTCACAGGCTCCCATCACTTGGGAGGCTTGAGGCAGGATTGCAGTTGAGTTTGAGGTCAGCCTGTACCACAAAGCAAGACCCTGTCTCAAACAAAAAGTATGCAAAAATGAGATCACTGGCTGGGGATTTAGCTCAGCGGTTCCACCACCTGCCTTGCAAGCACAAGGTCCTGAGTTCAATCCCCAGTACCAAAAAAACCCAAATCACTCAAAGCAAGCAATCCAGGAAAAGTCATGAGGAGGTAAGGGTGATCACTGTATCTGGCCCCAGGAGGCAGATGTAGGGAGACTGTGATGGGAATCAGGCCAGGTATTGCTGACACTCAGGTTTGAGTGGAGTGAGGGTTCCTGTTTGGTTTCTAGCTAGGTGAAGGACAGAAGTATGAAGGGATAGTATCCCCGGGCTCCAGGAGCCAGTAGTAATGGAGGAAGGCAATACTGTGGGAGTGGTTAGCCACACTGGTGCTTTCAACTGTCTGGAGAACTCAGCCAAGACTGAGGAAGGCAGCTCCAGAGTCCAGCCAGGATGGTGGTAAGCCTCCTGCTACCTGTGCTAACCAATGACTGGCTCTCTCCCCCCAGTCAGCTCTCCTCTTGAAGGCAGGAGGCCTGAGCACCTTTCAAGGGAAAGACAGGCAGGTCAGTGGCTGACAAGGACAGGAGAGGCAGAAAAAGGGCTTTTCTTCTCCAGATGTTCTCAGCCAAATACTTTCATAAAAACTGCCAGGTGTGGTGGCACTTGCCTATAATCCCAACATTTTGGGAGGTTGAGGCAGGAGGATCACAGATTTAAGCCCAGCCTAGACAACTTATCGAGACCTTATCTTACAATTTAAAAAGGGATGTAGCTCAGTGTGAAGGCCCTGGTTCAATCCCCAGTGCAGGGGTTGCAGAGTATGCCTGAAGGTACTGGTACTCCTCAAGAGGAGATGAACTAAGGATGCCACAGGCATCCACTGGGAGTCATGACTGCTCTGAGCCAGGTGAGAAGGGATCTGCCCCAAGGACGTAAGACATGCTGACCAAGCCCTGACAGCATGCTTGCCGTACTTTCTTCCTGGGGTGACAACTGCAACAGAGGGAAGGCCAGATCCGAACCCAGCTGAAATCAATAAGCACCGGCTCTCTATGGCTTCACCAGTGCCTCCATGTCTTGGTAAGCAGAGGGGGCACGAAGAGGTGGCAACTCCCACATTTTCTCTTCCCAGGAATGTGACAGCTGGGGTGGGTCTGAGCCCTTGGGGTTACCATATGAACCAGACATTTCCAAGAAGCCTCTTCCTTCTGTGGTACCAGCAGGGCAGGCCATTTCTGGGTTAATACCTTTTTATTAGGATTCAGGTTTCAAATAAGGTAGAAAGCAGCGGCAAGAGGGGTTTCCGTAGGGAGTTGATAAGGGAACACCGGACTTGGCTGGCTGGACCACTGCCAGAGATGGGAACCAGAGACTGGAAAGAGTCTGAGGAAGGGGAGTGGGACCAGCCTCAGGGAGTACACAGGGGTCAACGGATGGTGTATCGAACATAGGGGACCTCGACGTCCTCGCCGCTCTCGTCATTGCAGCATAGCTCAAGCACCAGGGCCCGCACATGGCGGCCCAGCTTTCGCTTCGACACGCGGCTTACGATTTCTGTCATCCTGGGGACAGGGGGTAGGGCAGAAGGTGAGGGACGTAGAAAGTGAGAGAGGGAGATGGCAGGGACAGAACAGATGAAGGTCAATGCACAGGAGTGGGAATGGGAGAGCTCCAAGGTGAGTCCCACCCCTTCCCCGTGCCCTGTGCTAACTCACGGCTGATCCAACCGTTCCTTGAGCTTAGCGGCTGGCATGAAGAAGGAATAGAGCATGGACACACCCTGGGACAGCATGGTGATCTCTAATTTGTGCTCTGTCTGGAGGGGAGGGAAGGGGAACAGCAGTGTCATGGGGTGGACAGGACACCCCATTCCTCCTGGTGGGGTGAGAGTAAGGAAGGGTCTTTACCTTAAAGTAGTCAAGGAACTGTTTGAGGGTCATCTCCTCCCCGTTAGGCTGCAGCCCCTGAACCTCAAAGCGATCCCACAATGTCCATTCTTGGTCATAGTACTGGAGAGGAGAGAAAAGGGCAGGGCCCGCTCTGGAGGGCAAACTCCATACTCATACAAACATGGTAAGTTGGATCACAACCATCTTTTGTCCCAAACCCTCTCCTGGCCCTGTCACCTTGAGTAAGCATTCAAACCCTCTGATGACTGACAAGGCTCTCTGACACTGGAACCCTAGTCTCATCTACTCCTCATCCTCTCACCCACTCAGCCCTACTGGCCTTTTATTGCTCCAACATGCCAGGGATATTTCTACCTCAGTACCCCTGGCAAGGACTGGTACCAGAGCCTCTACCAAGGGCCTGCACACCTTGTCCCCTCATGTCTTCCACAGGTGAGCTCACACATCAGCTTTTCAGCAAGGCTTTCCTGACCAGCCCACATTTCAAGTCCCAAGCCCTTGGCTGGGGGTGTAGTCCAGAGAACACATTCTTACTATGCCAAGCTTCTGGGTTCCGTACCCAGCACCAAATCAATCCCTGCTCATCTCAAGTCCTCCTTAAAGCTCTTTTTGGGGGATTCCAAAATTATTTATTGGGGCCGGGGCTTTAGCTCAGTGGTTCCGCTGCCTTCCTCGAAAGCACAAGGACCCGAGTTCAATCCCCGGTACCAAAACAAAAACAAAATTATTTATCATGTCATTTATATAGCCTATTTGATAAATATAACATTAGCACCTAAAAGACTACCTGCACACAGTAGGTGCTCAATAAACAAGTGAATTAGTAAATGAGCCGAGTACAGCACCCAGCACAACAAGAATCTAATACCAGGGGCCAATGGGGCCAAGGATTTAGCTCAGCAGTTCCGCCGCTTGCCTTGCAAGTGCAAGGACCCGAGTTCGATCCCTGGTACCAAAAAAAAAGAATCTAATGCCAGCTGAAATTATGTAGTTATTAATAACCTTCCAAGGGGAGGTGTGGTGCCATGTCCCTATAATCCTAGCACTTTTGGGAGGCTGAGGCAGGAGGATCTTGACTTTGAGGCCAAAGTGATCAACTTAGCAACCTAGCAAGATTATGCCCAAATAAGGGAATGACAGGGAGGCTGGGAATGTAGTTCAGTGTAAAGGTCCTGGGTCCAGTACCACCAACATTCATATACACACACACATACACCCCAATACTGCCCAGGGCATAATTCAAGTATCTCATCTTTTCTGATGATTGCCACAGGCAGAGAAGCAGAGCAATGTTCAGCACACACTTGGATGGTATCATTAATGTATAAATGAACAAGGACTGAAAAGAAGTACACAGATAGAAACCCTCACCTGGTGAGAGGTGCTGCAGACACATGCCCTACTCATAAACCCAACCTCCTGATGAGGGCCCCTACCTGGTGCCGTGGTGCTGCCAGGGGTTCAGAAAAGCCGAAGAAGGGTAATGCCAAGTTGAGGAATCCATTCTTGTAGGAGTCAAGTTTTCGGTGCCCCTGTACTACCTTGTATAGCTCTAGACACACCAGGCCAACCACAGCGGCTGTGGTCGTGGCAATGGCTGGGATGATCTTCCCTGCAATCAGCTTGCTCTGTGAGACAGAAGGAACCAAGGAATGTGATAGTTAAGTGGCAAGGGGCTCAGGATCTACAGAAGGGGAGGAATGTGGGGAATTAAGCCTAGAAGGAGGTGGAACATCAGGCCTAGATTCTACTCACTTTGTGCCGGTCTGCAGGAGGAATGTCATAGTTTTCTGCCCGGAGGTTGGATGCAGCCACAATGAAATCCATATGGAAGTTGCTATCATCATCCTGTTATAAGTGGGAAGAGTGGATCCAAT